AACGACTCAAAAATTTGCACAGTACCTGAAAAAAAATTGTTATTGTCGTTATAATATAAAAGAAAAAAAAAAACTATAAAATATATATTCTACATACCCAAGGATTAATAATAAAATTCCTTCACCAATAATGTCACCAGAAAAAAGGAAAAAAACGGTTAGAAGCCACTAAAATTTACATTACCCTGTACCATTCGTGCAAAAGAGGGGAGCGATCGCGCGATAGAGCCATCGTTTCGAGTGCTCCATAACGAGCCTTGAAATTCTTTTCGGTGCAAGGGATGCTCTCGAGCTTTACCCCTCCGGTCGTGTGTAAAAGATACGTTCCAACACCGCGCCACCCGTTAAAGGGAAAGTTCGCTCAGCGGTTCCGTGCATAATCGTAAAGAAACAATGTTGCGAGAATCGCAACACGAGGGGGAGAGAGCACGAGATCCGCCGCCCATTTCGCCTCGTCGCTTCCGCTTTTCGTGTTCCTTCCTCCCTTGCGGCCAAGGACCAGCTTTAAAGCGTTTCAAATTAGCACGGGGGAGGGTGAGACAAGGAAATTTAAATGGTTCACTTTGGGAGTGGAATGAATTAATTCGTGGATTTTTTACCGTGTAATTAAAATTTTGGAATAATAATTAAAGTTTGTTATAATGTGAAAAGGAATTTGCGTGTATTTCCTTTTTGCAAATGATTTTTAATTTTCCATATGGCATGCTTGGAATAGATACATTCTAGATTTTTGTCCATAAATATCCAACACGATCTTGTTACATTTAATCATACGATTAACGCGATAATTAATAAACTGATTCAATTATATATATTTAATAAGAACATTTGATAAATACTATGAATTAATATTCTATTACGTATCTATCTCATGCAAATATTCATGCAAATTTTGCAAGAATAACGTTTAAGAATAATAGATCAATTAATCAAGCTTTATTCCTTTAAAAATACCCACAAATTACTCATTCCACATTTCAAATCCACACCAATTCCAAACTTCTTTCGACCATCTCGACTCATTAAACTAAAATTCTCTCTCCTTTGCCCTCAAAAAAAAAAAAAAAAAAAAAACACCAAAAAGAAAAAAAAACAGCGAGAACAAACGTTATTCCCCAGATCCTTTTCCACTATCCGACCCGGACAAAGGTTGTCCAAAACCTCGAGCTACATTTTCCTCCCTGAATCGACAAAAGAACAATCGATCTTTCTCATCGCAGTTGGACGCGTTCCCGTGGCATCAGGCTACCTTCAAATTTCCCCCTCTCAAAGCGTTCAGCCGCGTCACTGAAAAGGAGAGAGAGAGAGAGAGAGGGAGAGAGAGAAAGCACGGCGACAACAAACGCCCACCATAGCCCTCTATAAGAGGAGCAGCCTTTTGTCGAGGTTCCATAGAGAGGCTCGTACGTTATCGCAAGTACGTAATCGTAAAGACTTAAAGTATAACGCCGTCGGGTCCTTTCTTTCGCCGGAAACTGAGTGCCGCCTCATCATCCTTTCCCTTCTTTATCCTTTCTCCCTCCTTCTTTCTTTCTCTCCCTCCGTATCCCATTCCATTCTATCGCGGCCACGAAGGCGACCCCTCTTGGGCTCCGACCCACGAGAGAGAAAGAGAGAGAGAGAGAGAGAAAGAGAATTTTCAGGGTCCGATATAAAAGACAAGAAGACGGTCCGCCAGAAGCCAGGAAGCGTGGAGGCAGACGAGAAATTCTTTGTGAATTTTTCAGACTGCAATGAATTACTCGCGATAGTAAGGTTGAACGAGCTCGTGGAAAAGGAGGGGAGGTTGGGGGGAAAGCTCGAGAAGAATTGGAGCACGAACCGTGATAGATTTGAACCGTGGGGTTGGTCGTGCGTTTGGTTTGTTTATTTATTTCGCAGTCGAAAGAGAATTGATTCATTCGATCTTGTCCAAGTTTTTTAAGTATTATCGATGAGTGTCGATTTTCGAATCTTTTCGTCTTGGATCGTTCTAACGATGGTTTACTTCTCGTTTAGATAGAATGGCTCGAGAAGAATCGTGAGGCTTTTTGAATTTTTTTTAAGGAGTCTTCTTTGAGTAAAGAAGGAAATCAGGAAAAAGAAGAATCACTTTCTGCTTTCTTTTTAATACGAAGGATTCTTTTGAAATTCGATTTAGAAATTCAAA